GAAAAGTCAACAGCACATGATTCACAAACCACCTGGTTTATGGAGACCCTATAGGGGGTGAACAATCCTACCGCTGAGATACTGTGATTTCTTCTTTGTTTTATTGCCGGCACAAGGCAGGAGATTGTCGGGGCTGCATTAAGGGGAAATGTCACTTGTGTCTGTCTAACAAGCAAAATTTATCCCAGGGCCAGTTGCCTCTGAGAAACTGGGTCTTGTTTTTCTCACTTACTCCTATTTTCTCTCTGTCCTGTCCCTTTTCTCTTCACTCCTCCACAGAATGTGTTCCTCCAGCCCCTGATCCAATATGTTCCTTCTGGCCTCTCTAACAGGGGATGTGGGCTTGGCTTTATTTAAGTGTAATTTAGCAAGGCTAGGAATATGACATCAGACTTCTTTAAACACCCAGGAACTGCAGAAACTTTATTCTCAACATTTCTCCCAGGCGCCATATAAAAGAAAACTCGTAAACATGGACCTCTCACTTACTACATGGTTCAGACCTAAATACTATAAATTAATCTAAAAAGGAAACAGAAACATTCCTATGAAGACAAAGGAGTATGGGCACATTGAAGACATATGTAAATAAAATCCTTCCATAAGAGCTCAACGAATATTTCCTTAATTTAAAAAAAAAAGAAACTTTCTCCCATGTTCTTTCATAAAAACAGGTAACATTTACTGAGTATTTGTTCTGCAACAGACCCTTTTCCAAGCATTAAAAAAACTTTCAGGTCCAAAATCCTAAGGCCATGTTTTTGTTCTCATTGCCTTCTAGAAAATATCGGAAGGAGACTACCTAGATTTAAAGTAGATGTTTTGAGGGGAAAACCTCAAGTGATTTCTGTGGCTAATAGAAAGGTTGTGATTTTCCACATAAAAAAGAATGGGGATCATGAACAACTGCCCCCTTTGTCATGAGACTAGAAGCACTGGATGGTGCCCAGCTACAATGACTGAACATTTTGATCAAGACTCCATCGAAGAATCCTGATCAAAAGGGGGGAAATGAAGAACAGAATTTCAAAGTCTCATGAAATCTAGACTTTGTGGAGCCATGGAGGTTGTATGAACCGCCTAATCTACTGCCCTGAGATGATCTTTAAAACTTAAACATTAAACCAAAACTATCCCCTGAAGGCTTCTTAAAATAAAAAAATGGTTTAGCTTAACTAGTAAAGAACATCTGCTTTGAGCATTGTGCTTTTTTAAGAGCTACCTATATAGGATCGGCAGTTCAAATCCACCAGCCACTCCCTGGAAACCCTATGGGGCAGTCCTACTCTGTCCTATAGGGTCACTATGAGTCCAAATCAACTCGACTGCAATGAGTTTGCTTTTTCTGGTTATATGGGATCAAATTTACAACAGCAACTGGAAAGATTAGATAGGAAACTTAGGGGGCAGTGAGTTTATGTTTATATGGGAGGAACAACTCAGAAAAGGCGGGTGAGTATAGTTGCACAACTCACAGAAAGTAGTCAATGTCACTGAACTGTACCAGTAGAAACTGTTGAATGGGTGTATGTTTTGCTGTGTATATTCTCAACAACAATAAAATTATATAAAAACAAAAAAGAATGAGGAGGTTGGTCTTTGAATTCTAAGTCTTTTGTAAGTTGGCTGGGTGAATACGGTGAGGAAAAACAGCTGGAGAATCACTGTGCATTTAAGATTCGATCATCAGCTGGGTAGCTACAACACGTCTTGGGCGAGTCTAGTATCTAGAAGAAGACCCCCAAACATTCTAGAGAAAAACTCAAAACAAAACCCATTGCTCTCAAGTCGATCCTGGCTCATAGCGACCCCCTGTGACAGAGTAGAACTGCCTCATAGGGTTTTAGGGTTTTGTTGGCTGTAATTTTTACTGGAGCAGATCACCAGGCCTTTCTTCTGCAGCACCACTGGATGAGTTCAAACCTCTAACCTTTAGGTAAGCAGCTGAGCACAAACTGTTTGCGTGTCCCAGGGGCATTTTATTTGACCTCCACAAAGAAGTTGAAAGTCCAACCTCCATATCTACCACAAGAATGTACAATCCTTATGTAAATTGATTTCTGTAGATTCTGTAGATTCCCAGGCATCTAAGTCAGCCATGTTGCTGTTCTTATTGTTGTTGGGTGCCACTGAGTTGATTCCGACTCATAGCGACCCCATGTGACAGAGCAGAACTTCCCCATAGGTTTCCTAGGCTGTAATCGTTACAGAAGCAGATCACCAGCTCTTTCTCCCTGGGAGCCACTGGTGGGTTCAAACAACTGACCTTTTGATTGGCAGCCCAGTACTTAACCACTGCGCCATCAGGGCTCCTGAAATCAGCCATACCAACCTTACTGTAATTCTAAGTTTACAGTATACGGAAAAAAAAATGTCTTGAAACCTACAACATCACATAGGATGATTGTTTGGTTCCATTTGTTTCCTTACACTTATTAGAAATAAAACTATAAATGTGGTATTGAAAAAACTAAATTACATCCTGTTACCAATGGAGTTTACAATTCAAACAGCATTTGGTTTGGGAAACAGGGTAACGGCAATGCATTTTAATTTTGTTTTAAATATCTGTTGTCGTTGTTAGGTGCCATCGAGTTGGCTCTGACTCTTAGTGATTTCATATATAATAGAACGAAATGTCATCCAGTCCTGTGCCATGCTCACAATCATTATGCTTGAGCCCATTGTTGCAGCCACTGTGTTAATCCATGTCCTTGAGGGTCTTCCTCCTTTTCACTAACCCTCTACTTTACCAAGCATGATGTCCTTGTCCAGGGACTGGTCCCTCCTGATAACATGTCCAAAGTACGTGAGACGTAGTCTCGCCATCCTTGCTTCTACAGAGCATTCTGGCTGTACTTCTTCCAAGACAGTTCGTTCTTCTGGCAGTCCATGGTATACTCAAAACTCTTTGACAACACCATTATTCAAATGCATCAATTCTTCTTCAGTCTTCTTTATTCATTGTCCAGCTTTCCCATGCATATGAGGCAACTGAGAACACCATGGCTTGATATATAATTACCTACATGTAGCAAATATATAGGGAGCCTGCGTGGTATAAATGGTTTGTGATCGGCTGCTAACCTGAAGGCTGATGGTTCGAACCTATCCAGCAGCTCCGTGGAAGAAAGGCCTGGAGATCTGCTGCCATTTAGGTTACAGCCAAGAAAACCCTATGCAGCACAGGTCTACTCTGTGTAAGTTCCCAACACATTCTTTGATGGGAAAACACTACACAGATTCTTCCAAGCTAGTACATGAACTCAAGTGAATTATCCAAGTTTTCTTGGTACGTCGCTTATAACAAGGACACACAAGTTATCAATACATTCTGTGAATGGAAAAAAAGACTATACACAGTTTCTCCCACTGAAGTACAGGAAGTCCAAAGAGGCAACCATGTTTTCAAAGTTCATCGTGGATAACAAGGATGTGAAAGCTCCCAATACATTCCTTGAATGAAAAAAAAAATCTATGCTTTTTGCTCATTCAAGTACATGAAGTCAAAGAGTTATGCGAGTGATCAAAACACACTTTGTACACTGGGGTGGCCGTGAGTCGGGGCTGACTGGAAGGCAGTTAGCAACAGAAAACAGAGACAAAATAAAGACTGATCAGCCATGGTCCCGCATCTCTGAGGCTGGGGAGAGACAGTTAGGTAAACATCTAAACACCATTGAGCGTGGTAAGCACAGCACCTCGGGAGCGAAGAGAAGGCATGGAGAGAGCAGGCAGAGGGGCAGAGAAGCGACCTAGAGGAGCTGGCTTTCCAGGGGGTCTCAGGGGGATTTGGGGAGCAACATCCAGGAAGGAAGAGACAGAAATCCCTTTTAGTTGGTAGAACCAGCAAGTGCAAAAGGAAGCAACATCAAGCGTGCAGGGGGCGTTTGGCTGACACCCAGAATGAGAAACAAGTGCCAGGAAAAGAAGCTGGGCGGCCGGTAAAGCAAGAAGGGGCAGTAGCTCAGGTCTCAGCTGAGGACCAGGAGCTTCCTCAGCCAGGAAGACGGAGCCCTCAGGGAGTTAAGGTGGATGAGAGACGCGGTCCAATTGACCGGTGTTGTTCTTGTCAGCGGCCATCAGGTCAACCTCCACTCATGGAGACCCATGCACGACAGGAAGAAACACTGCCCAGTCCTGCGCCATCCTCATGACTGGTTGCAGACCCAATCCTTGTGGATTCTTAGAGTTTTCTTAGGCTGATTTTCAGGAGTAGATCGCCAGACCTTTCTTTCTAGTTCCTCTTAGTCTGGAAGCTCCACTGAAACCTGTTCAGCATCACAACACAAGCCTCCATCGACAGACGGGTGGTGGCCGTGCATGAGGTGCAGGCCAGGAATCAAACCCGAGTCTGAGCCACCACTGACTCCTTAATATTCTACCTCCTGCTAATTTATTAATTTATACATGTGAAGACTCTTGCGAGATACTAACTGCTCCAATCCTTGAGTTTTGCTTCTATGTTATTGTTGTAGTCTGCTGGCCTTAAGTCAGCCCCTGACTCATGGTGACCCCATGCACAAGGGAACAAAATGCTTCCCAGTCCTGCACTACCCTGCGATGAGCTGCGAATGGGATTGTTGTGATCCATAGGATTTTCACTGGTTGATTTTCAGAAACAGACTTCCAGGCCTTTCTTCCTAGTCTGTCTCAGTCTGGATGCTCTGCTGAAGCCTGTTCAGCATCACAGCAACATGAAAGCCTCCAGTGACAGATGGGTGGTGGCTGCGCATGAGGTGCATTGGCCAGGAATCGAACCTGGGTATCCCACATGGAAGGCAAGAATTCTACCACTGAACCACCAATGAGTACCTGGACAACGATGTGACCAGAAGGAAAAAGAGAAGACAGGAAGACGGAAAAGAGGGCAAAGCAAACGCAATCACACTTTTAGTCACCGCTGGCGTCTACAGCTCTACGCCCTCTGTTACCATCATCCATTCACACAGCAGGGATGGAATGAAGCATCAGAAGCATGGAAAGGTGGGGTGACTCACTGTTTCTCGGGTGCCAGCGCACAGCATTTAGATAGGAGTTGCAGTAATGGAAGAGGAACTCATGATCCGACCGTTGGCTTCTCCCTTGGAGCAGAGGCATCAGGTCCCGTCCATCGATGATCCTGTATGAGAAACCAATAGGGCCATCAGGTGGGGGACAGCCACATCACCCTTGGACTGAAACACCCTGACTTAAGAATTGTCCATCCCAGGAAATGAGAGCATGACAGAGTTCCATTAGTCAACACAAAGAATGCTAACTAAGCCTACGGACGCCACGTTCTACACTCCGATCCCAGCTCTGTTCATGTGTTCACTCATCGGATCCTCCAGACGGCACCATGAGCTGATCTTATCCTCATTCTCATTGCAGAGTTGAGAAAACTGAGCACACGAAGTGTAAGCCACTAATCCAAGCTCAAACCACTAGTACGAGCTGACCTGGCATCCATACTCTCAACTATCTACCCACCGCTTCTTTCAACCCCAGTCTTCTGCCTATTGCTTTGCCAAAGGGCACACTTTACTAAAAAAGTATGGGTCTGTTGAAAATAAGAGGACATGTGGTGGCGTAGCGGTTAAGAGCTCAGGCCGCTAACCAAAAGGTTGGAGTTCGAATCCACCAGCCGCTCCTTGGAAACCTTATGGGGCAGTTCTGCTCTGTCCTATAGGGTCGCTATGAGTCGGAATCGACTCGACCGCAATGAGTTGGTTGGTTGGTTGCGTGGTAGGTTAAAAAAGATAATATGTACACACAGGGTTGCCATGAATCAGAATCAACTTGAAGGCAACAGGTTTGGATTTTCTGGTTCACAGCAGAGGGCAACTGTAATTGGACGGACTTCAATGAAAGTGAGTTTCTAAATCAGAATGAATGACTTCGTCAATAGTAATGATGATAGTATTTAACACGATTTGGATGGACTGTTCACACATGAACATATCATCTCCTCTACCACGGGGCATCTCATATGCGTGCGAAAGCTGGACAACAAAAAGGAAGAGCAACGCACTGATGTGTTGGAACTGTGGTGTTGGCGAAGAATACTGAATATACCACGGGCTGCCAGAAGAACCAACAGACCAGACATAAAGAAACACAACCAGAACGCTCCTTAGAAGTGACAATGGCAAGACTCCACACGTCATCAGGAAAGACCAATCGCTAGAAAAGGACCTCGTGTTTGGTAAAGCAGAGGGTCAGCGAAAATGAGGGAGACCTTCCATGAGGTGGGTTGACACAAAACCTCAGCAATGGACTCAGACACACCCAGGATCATGACCAGCGCAGGACCAGACAATGTTTCATTCTGTTATACATAATAACAGCAGTAACTGCTAGGCGTATAGCTCGGCCAAGAAGGAAACTTTCCAGAATGTAAACAATAAATAAATAAGGTTTGTTATGAGCAAACAGGATCACTTGGCGTTTAAATAAAAGAAAAAGCCTAAAATGTTGCTTTGAGTTAAACATCAATTAACAGTTATTTTAGAAAGGGGAACCACTGATAGCATTAGCCCTCTGCCATTGAAACAGGGAGGACAGAACCACTGTGAAAGGCGCGGAGTATTTAACCATGGGTCTTCTTTCTCAGACTAAAAACACTACACCCCTGTCATCTCTTGTTCTAAGGTGTTTAGAAAGTGGAACCTAGCATCGCTTTGTAATTTGGGTAAGCATGTTGGAGAGGTCCTCCTTCCCTCGAGCTTTTTGTGGTTGATTTTGTTGTTGCTAAAAACCCCTTATATAATTATAGCCTTGTTGCTTAGCACTTGTCCGGCCTCAGCCCTTGTTATTAATCATGCACGGCACAGAAGCCCGTGGACTGAAAATCTGTTATCATAAGTTAAAAATAAGAACAAAAGGCAGACTTGGCTCACATCCCAAGCTGGCGTTGCTGCTCACCATGAGCAGAAGAAAAGAAATGGTGGCAGGGACAGGCCTGCTCAGAAACAGGGTGTTCTGTGAAATACTATTTCCATCCTCAGATGGCAGTCATTGTGTGCCGGTCTTTGCAAATTCCTTTCAAGGAGGCGTGGGACCTTAATAAAGTGAGATTCTGAAGAGGCTTGCAAGAAAGGAAGGGACCAGAGGGGCGCTGTGCAGGTAGGGGTACTGGCTGGTGGAATGCCCCCAATGGCAGAAAGGGACCTAGAGATGAGGAGGCAGGCAGCAGAGGAATACGATCCCTCTCCACCGCCTCCACCTCCAAGCGGACCGACCCCAAGAGCGAGATGGAATCTCCATTTATTGGGCTCAGTGTCTACCTCAACTTCTTGAACGTGCTTTCTGTCAGAGGCCAACGAAACTCAACACTTGGTTGAAGAACACGGCGGATGGAGCTGGTTTTTAGAATCGGCATTTGATAATTGAAATTGGTCCTGGTAATATGAAGGGAAATTTAATTAAAAAAAAAAAAAAAGGTAAGGACTTTATCAACAAAGTGAAAAGACACCTGCCGATCGGAAGGAAATTTTCGGGAACCACATATCGGGTAAGGGTCTAATATCCAAAATTCATACATATTAAAAAAAAAAAAATTTCTACAACTTAACAACAAAAAGGCAGCCAACACAATCAAAGCGTGGACAAGGGACTTGAACAGAATTTCCTCAAACAGGATATTCAAATGATCACCAAGAACTTGAAATGATGTTCAGCATCGTCAGCTATTAACTCACTGCCGTCAAGTCGATTCTGACTCACAGCGACCCTATAGGAAGGGTAGAACTATCCCATAGGGTTTCCAGGGCTGTGATCTTTATGGAACCTGACTGCTACAACTTCCGCCTTGGTGCAGCTGGTGGGTTCCAACCGCTGACCTTTTTTTAGGTAAACAGCTGAGTGCTTAACCACTGTGAATGCTCCTTCATTAGCCATTAAAAACCCGCTGCCATCCAGCCTATTCTGACTCCTAGAGACCCGCTGGGACAGAGTATACTGCCCTATAGGTTTCCAAGGAGCAGCTTGTGGATTCCAACTGCCGACCTTTTGGTTAGCAACTTGAGCTCTGAACCACTGTGCCACCAGGGCTCCTCGTTAGCCATTAAAAAAACAAAACAAAACAAAAAAAAAACACATTGTCATCCAGTTGATCCTGACTGATAGCAACCCTATATTTTGGTTTTCTTCAGCCATTAGGGAGATGCAAATCAAAACCACAATGACATACTACCTCACCTCCATGAGAATGGAAACGACCAAAAAAAAAAAAGGAAAACAAAAGGTGTTGGGAAGGTTGTGGAGAAATTAGAACCTTCATCTACTGCTGTGGGACTGTCAAATGGTGCAGCCAGCCTGGAAAGCAGTTTCGCTGTTCCTCACAAAGTGGAACCTAGAATTACCCCATGACCCACTAACCCCAAACCTAGGTGACCTGAAAGAAATGAAGACGGCAATGCCCACAGAAACCTGTACACCAATGTTCACTTTTCACGATAGCCAAAAGGCAGAGACAACCAAAGTGTCCATCAATGGACGAGTGGATACAAATGTGGTTTGTATACACCATGGAATATTACTCGGCCACACAGAGAAAGGAGGTCCTGGGGCATGCCACAACATGGATGAACCTTGAAAACATCAAGCTGAGTGAAATCAGTCAGTCATCAAAGGACAAATATTGTCTAACCTCACTTACATGAAATAAGCACATCTACAGAAAGCAAAAATTATTAGTGGGGACCAAGGGGGGAGGGAGGGGCAAAGGGGGTGTTCCTGTTTAAGAGGCATTGAGCGTACGTTAACGGTGGTGGAATCATCTGGAAGAAGACACTAAGCGAGACCAGTGGTACAACTTGAAGAATGTAATCGATGTCAGTGAGTTATACATGCAGAAGTCGTTGAAGGGGTACGGACTGTTGTGTGTATTTTCACCACACACACACACAATAAGCAGATAAGACTGCAAAATCTCAGAGTTTATTTTTCTTACTTTCAAGCCCAATAGTTGAAGGGAACAAAGCCTTCTGCAAACTTCGTTTTCTTCAAACACAAAGCTAGGTCTCATTTTTCTATAGCCTCCAGCTGACGGGCCCTTTCCTAGACGCAGGTAATAAATCAGGGTCCTATGAAAAGCCACTGTTTAAGAGTGCTGCAGAAGTACGGCCTGTCAAACACAGACTCGTTCCTGTCCTGAGAAATGGAAAGTGACCCTGTTGAGCTGAACTTTTAAATGCTGTCTAAGCTATCAAAATACCCCGGGTTGTTTTAAACTACGTGTGAAATTCACAGTTACCTGGGCCAATAACCTGCACTACAGTGCTTCCTGCGCTGACAGCACTCTTGCGGAAATGTTTTCCTAACGTCACAATACGGGGGGTGGGGCAAGGGGGCAATCCAATTCCAAAGTGACATAAAACATCTTGGCATATTGTTCTCCATGGAAACGCTCTCACAGGTCTTTCTGCAGCCTCACCTCAGTTTCCATGGAAAGTTAACCTAGATCCTGGAAAACACAAACCAGTTGCTCTGGAGTGGAGTCTGACTCAAGGCGACCCCAGGTGTGTCAGAGTAGAATTGCGATCCGTAGCGTTTTCAGTGGCTGATTTTTCAGAGGTAGATCTCCAGGCCTTTCTTCCAAGGCACCTCTGGGTGGACTCAAACCTCCGATCTTTCAGTTAGCAGCTGAGCGCATTAACCATTTGCACCATCCGGGGAATCTCATCTAGCTGTAAGTCAGCAAAACTTAACGGGGAGAAGCTAACTGGATCACTCCCCTTTGTCTTCCTTAGACAACAAGGAGAGGACAGATGTACAACATCAGAGTACTGATTTCCTTTCCTAACAAAAAAATCCGAGTCAACGTGAGGTGAAAATGTTTGACCTCTAAAACTCGACTCTTGAAGATATCAGCGCTCCTTCCCTGGGGGACGCACATGGTTTGCGCTCATCTACTAACCTAAATGCTGGTGGGCTGAACCTAGTGGTGCCATGGAAGAAAGGCCTGGCAATCTGTTCCCAGAAAGATTACAGCCTAGGAAACCCTATGGGGCAGCTCTATTCTGTCACATGGGGTTGCCATGAGTAGGAATCAACTCGATTGCAATGGCTTTGTTTTTTGCTTTTTTTTTTTTTTCCTCCTTCCCTATCCGCTGAATAGACGAGGTCCAGCATTTATAT